CCAGACTTTCCTCTCTTGACTTTGGTGGTGGTATGCCATGTCTACCTTCTCTGACTAGGCCTTCTCCAACCCTGGCTGAGGCTTCCTCCTTCTGCCTGCCCCAGTGAAGGCTATTTTCCGATTTCTGCCCCTGGCCTTCCTCTCTCTACATTCTCCCCTCATCTCACATCATGTAACTTTAATTGGCCCTTAGTGTGGACAGTTCTCAAAGCATTAGCTGCAGTTCCAGTGTCTACCTCACACACTCCCCGTTTCTTACAAGACATTGTCCTCTGCTTGTTTCCCTGGACCCAAACGGAATTTCTCTCCCAAACTTGTTCCTCCAGCCAAGTTCTCTCTTTCCATTAATGGTACCACTGTTTGGAGAATAGTCACCCTTATTTAAAATCTCAATCCCTCATGAGTCCTCCTCTCTTTGTACCTCCTCCCTATGCAGCCTGTCACCAAAATCCACTTATTCTACCTTTCCCGTTTCTATCTTTGCTTAGTTTTAAGAGAAAAAAATTGTATAAAAGTAATTCTGATCATGGAAGAAGTCAGGTGGTACAGACTTGTCTAATGCAAGGGACACACTCTGCTAGTCCCTCTTGTCCTCTCCAGTGGTAAACATTAGTGTCTGGGGCATGGCTTTCCAGACTTTTCCTAGGCACACTGACTCACGACCTCTTTTCCTTTCCATTCCCTCTAATGCTGCCATCACAATTGACACCTCTTTTCTTCTGTGTGAAGAATACAAGTGTTAAGGTTAACTCTAAGTGAAAAGCTCTAGAGTGGCAGTAATTTTTCATGACATTTTTTAAAGCACTCTTAATTTTTGTTCTGAGTGATAAAAATCAGAGCGGGGTGTTCCAGTGTGGTATGAAGGGATCTGGCTGGAATTCTGGTGCCCTTTTGGAGGTGCTTCATGGTCTGGGGTGGATGTGAGCTCCTATCCTCCAGGGGACTACTGTGATTTTGGCCTTATCAGAGAAGCACCAAACTCACATTCCGGAGAGGCCAGACGGGACTTATCTGAGCTCAGTGGGCTGTGTGGTCTATAGTGAGCCTGAGAGTAGATGCCTCTTTCATGGCTACCATTCAGCTCAGCTCTAGGCTGTAATGCTCCTGTGGGCACGTCGACCTGGAGTTGCTAAAACTTCAAATTATTTGAGACAGGCTGGATATTCAGATTTTTATGTAAAATCTGATATTAAAATATTATATAATCCAAACAAAACACATCTATTTGGGAGGACCATGATGTAAAGTATATGATTGTCTAACCACTATGCTGTACACCTGAAACTAAAAATAATATTGAATGTAAACTGTAATTGAAAAATAAAACACATCTATGAACCAGTTTTTGATTTTGACTTTCTCCACACCAACCAACAGTTTTAGTGTAGGTATAGGTCCCCCCTGCCCAGTGGTGACAAAGGGCTATGAAGATGAAGCCATCCCAAGGAGGTGAAGGGCCTGTGGTACTAACATTGGTGTGCAATGGCCCAGGGGTTGGGTGAAATCAGGGAGAGGGCAGCCTATTTGAAAGAAAGCTGAGAACTGTTGCTACCCAGTGGATGTGGCAGGCAGCAGTTGTCTTCTGGGTTGCCACTGTGGAGGGTGTCTAAACTAGGGGTCTTGCACAGAAAAGTCTTTAGAAGCCAGGCAGGAATGGACCGCAGGGCTCTGGTTGTAAAACTGCGGCTCAGACAGTTTGCAGTCCCAAGCACCATCTGTGGCCCCCAAAGCCCTTCTGGAATCTATTTATCTATTTGACCTGTTCTTCCTCTTGAACTGACACATTCCATATGTTTAACTACCTGTTGTATAGACTAAATTAGGAAAAGAGACTTTAAAACTATTGGGAAATGGGGAACAGGAGGGCTCTTAATTCCTTTATTTAGGGGTCTGGTGAATGAGTCCATGTTTTTAATATTTATATGTATGTGTATGCATACATACACACATATCACAAAAACACAAACATACTTTATTTCAGTATTTCTCAGTTTTGGGACTAAGATACGCAGTTGACATTATCACCTAGTACACACACTTTGAACCATATGAATGACACTATCCCACCTTCTTGACCTATAAAAGGCAATTTTATATGGTTCAACCCCAAAATAATTCAAACACAAGTTTTATGCAACAATATTTCACCCTTGCTTCTTGCGATATTTATTTTAAATGCTGGTTGCAGTACACTAAATTGATTTCACTACCGCTTAATACAACTTTTTAAGGTAGGAATCATCACTCTCTCCCATCCTATTAAACACAAGAGGATGTTTATCCCAGGGATGCGGTGATTGCCCCAGGTAGTTCCTATTAATTACCACTTACTTACTCTGTGCTTTAATCTTTATCTCATTTAATCTGCATTAAGAACCGCACGGGATGGGTACCAGCAATGAGGAATATGAAGTTTGGAGAAGCCAGACACTTGTTTTGGCACACGGCTAGGAAGAGAAAGATTCCAGATTTGAATAATTTCTATTTTCACTGCCTTGGAGCTAAGGTGCAGAACCAGACCCTGAACCTGGCCTTTGCAGCACCCTAGTTCTAATCTTTTCGTCTCCTGTGGGCTTTCCAGAGAAGGGCGTGTGTGTGCGCTTGCTTGCCTAAACTTTCTACCCAGCTACACTTTTTCCCAGGCCTCTGCACTGGCTGAGGGGTGGCCTTTATCCCTGAGACCACCCCCTCCCCCATCCCAGCCCGCAGCTGGAAGTCTTCACGGATCTCCATCTCTCGTCCCTGCCCCCATCTGGGACGGGGAGGCAGACGGTCTCTCGAGTCTTTTCCAGATGTACGTCTGCCAAAGACTTCCCCCAGTACAGAAGATGAAGAATGAGGACCGGAGAGCAGGCCTGGTGGGAAAGTGTCTCTCCTTGTAAAGAGAAAGAGAAAGGAAGTCGGGGGAGGGGAAAGGTTGGAGCGGAGTGAGGAGGGGGCGACCAGTCTGGACATCAGGGATCCACTACTCGGCCAGTAAGTTTGCCTCCCTCAGGAAGCCGTGGGTAAATGCTCCAATCCGTGCACTGCCGTTGGAATTTGGGCTATATTATATCATTTACTGCAACCCGCACAGTACACTCAGGCACTACCCCAGTGCTTGTTACCAGCCCTTCCAGCGCGGAGCTCCCAGGGCGCTCCCTCTCCGCTGCAAGACTGCGCTCCAGTCCCCTCCAAGGTTTCATCTCCGCCGGTCCCTCCCAATTCTTTCCACCACTCTCTGATCAGGGGGGTGGAGTCGTACCTTCACTCCAGTTTCTTTAAGAGACGTCGGCCCCTCCCCTTTCGGAGTCGCGGTCTGACGCCGGATGACTGCAGCGAGTTCGAGATGTTTATGCAAATAGGCGCCCCCTGTGGGCCAATGGGGAGCGGAGGTGCCGGAACGGTGGACCAATGGGGCGGGGGCGCAGGGGCTCACCATATAAGGAGCGGCCTCGCCATAAAAGGAAACATTGTATCTCTTTATATGGGGGGGAAGGGTCGGGGGATCCCT